AAAACATTTTTTAGGCCAAAGTTCAGAAAATAAGAACAATTTTTTATTTATTTGTCCTATCTTTTTAGAGAGAGAGAGAGAGGCAGTGTTGATGTTCTACACCAATTAGAGAGTTAGATGAGAATTTTTCAAAAAATGGGGAAATATCAACAATAGAAAAAATTCACAGTAGAAGAGGTGGAAACAAAAACATCCTACAAATAAGCAATAATAAAAATAATAAGAATATAGTCCAAAACAGTTTTATTAATTAACATTGTTTATTATGGAACAATGTTTCAACAGTAAATTTCCAAATACCATACATTGCTTATCATCTAAAATACAATTGCGTAATCCAAGATTTTTCAGAGTGTTTTTGATGATCCTAGGAGTCCTTTACAAATCTTCAAAAATATTACTGTACTGCTCTTGCTGGCAAAATCTATGTGTTTGCAAGTTATAACAATACTGGTTCTACTCGAACCTTTAAACAAATGTTTCAATTAAAACGGTTTATTCGCAATAATAATACTTAAGCAAGTAACAATATGAGAGTTCGATAGCAGAGTAGATAGTTTGTAAAAGCAGGTTGCCAAATTACCAAACTGTCTTCTAATGTTGAGGAGTAGATGGATGGTTCCAGTGGAGGTTGTTTCCAGATGATCTTCCCAGGTCCTTGGGTCCAGATGGAAGCTGCATGCCAAATGAGAATAGTGAGGATTTATATACTTTGAGGTTTGCCTCTGACATCCAATCATCACTTTACAGTTGCTGAAATGTGTAGTTCATATTTATGTTTAGTACGAGGATGTTATAAGGTTGAACATTTAGGAAGGTTAATTGAATTATAACTTGGCCACACCCTAGGCAAGTTAATTAAATTATAACTTGGCCAAACCTTTATTGGTAATTAAAGATTGAGCCTTGAAGCTGACTAATCAGACTTATGTTTGGCCAATGTTATAGCATTTTCTTGAGTAGGTTTTAAGATGTACATGTATAAGTTCCATCAAATAATACAGTTCAACCATGTAAAATATAACCAAAGTTGTACACTACCTTTTCTTCCAGCTGAAGCTATTCTAAACAGTTTTTACATGCTAAAAGATAAAGCTTTTGAGAGAAATGAATTTCTGGATTTTTTTCAATACATTGACAGTACTTGGATTAAGCATTCAATTTGGACACCAGATTGTTGGTCTGTATTTGGTCTTGCCATCAGAACCAACAATGATGTTGAAGGATGGCACAGAAGAATGAATGAAAAAACACCTGCAAAGGGGTCACTTTATATGCTCATAGACATTTTAAAACAGGAGTCATGTCTTATTCCAGTTGTTGAGAAACTTCTTTAAGAAAAAAGGCTAAAGAAGTATCAGAAGAAAAGTGTGATTCCACCCTTGGGACGTTTTTTCCCCCCCTTAGGACGTTTTTTCCCACTCTGGGATGTTTTTTCCCAGGGACGTCTTTTTCCCATACTCAGATGAAAATTTAAGAATGCAAATTTTGTAGGATTAATTATTGCATAATTGCTAATTTCCAGATTTTTAAATTTTTGATACTTATATTTGTTATCTAAAATTTTTAAAAAGTTATATGTTGTCTCTTGACAAAATACTTTGTTTTTTAATGATATATATTGCAGATGTTCCTGTTGTTCAATAAAGTTAAGGGATGAATTTGGATAAAATATGTCAGAATTGTAGGATTCATTACTTAAACTTGAGAATTCTCCACTTCCAAGTGTCACTGCTATCATCCAAATATTCTGATTTCTATCATTTGAAATATTTAATCTTTCAATACCAATTTTTTCTTTTTATATTTTTGTCATTAGAATTATCTCTTTTTATGAAAACTGTAACATTATTGAAATTAAAACATTCAATATTTGTTGATAAAATCAAAGGTAGTATTTGTTCAAAAATCATATTATATGAAAAGTGAAAGTCATTATTTTGTATTGTTATTTTTGTTATTTGTGGAGAATCTACAAAAAGTTGCTCTAATAGCAGCCTTGAAAGGCCTGATTGTTTGGGTTTTGTTTTGGCAACATATATAGTTGAAGGAAAAAAATTGTTTTCTTAAAAATACTCTAATTAAGCAGTCAACAGCACACACAAGACTTCTCGCCTATAATAGATATGCATTTCCAGATTCTTCTTGTGTAATTTGTACTTGCACTACTCAGCTGAATACATTAAATGTGTCAACAAATTCAAATTATAAAAATTGCAGAGAATTTTGCAAAGCCGACTCATCCTGCAAATATTTTACAGTTGGCATGAACAATTGTTATTCTCATTCAAATTGTCAAAGGAATCCTAATGTTCTTAATAAGTTTTTATGCACAAATTCTGTACCTACAATCTCTCCAATGTCAAAGTATAAAGAAAATGCTGTTCACTTACTGAATGACTTTAATAATTCAACATGATGTGTAGAATGGAATTCTATACCATACATGTTGAGATATCCATTTCCAGGAGTAAATAGGCCACTTTCCTCAATTCTATTGAGTATATTTGGAAAGAATTTATCTTGTTCAATTAGAGAAAATAATGATACATTTGTTTATGTACCAGTTTAAGAGCAATTTAAAATAGAATTTGAAGGATATTTCAAAGTTTGTAATTTAGTATTTTCCAGTTTGGAAACATGTCAATATAGTTGTAATTGCAATGGTAGATTTTGTGAAGGTGTATATTTATTTGCTTTTTTAAACAAAAGTAAAATGTGTGGAATTTCTATTGCATAGGTTTTTCTTTACTTTTTAAGATTACAATACAGATATTTTATCATCATTCTAACAAATTCTTTTTCAAATATATTCATTTTTGCTTATAGACTATCTTTTCAACATTTTATGCCAAATGTTCTATTTAAAAAGGACTGATGGCTTGAAAAGCCTTCACTATGTATTATTCTGGTAATTTCAATATGCTAAAATATTCACCTTGTGCCCTGATGATGATATTTCAGATGATCTTCTCAGATTGAGATGTAGAGAGAGAGAGAGAGAGAGATTATTGGAATACAACTACAAGAGTTTATATACTGTTTTGGTTAGTGACACTAAAACAAACTGAATAGGGGTGAAACCATAGCCAGATGAAACCATACCTGAGTGAAACTGTGCCCATGGCGGGTGAAACCATACCTATTAGAAACCTAGTTATCTTATATTATTAAATGATAATAATTAAACCAAAAACAATAAAAAGATTGCTAAAAAATAAAAAGACAGCCATTTTAAAATTGAAGAAAACTTTGACTTTGGAAAGAGGCTACTTAGAAAGTCAAAACATATTTCCTGAATATTTTTGGACAAAGCTTATCTTAGAGGATTGAAAAGAGGTAAATTCATATGGAATTTAATCTAGTTCAATGTTGTATTAAGATTTTCATTATGCATCTTATCTTCATTTGGAAAATACTGAATTTATTTGATAAAGAATGTTCAGCCATTTTGAATAAATGCTAATGATAATCGTTGTTTTAGAATAGAGTTTTGATAATTGTTTCTTAGATAGCATTATTTGTGGTGAATATTTTCAGTTATTATTTAAATATGGAAGTTAAATGTAAAAATTGCAAGCTTGTTGTACATAGAAGACAGACAAGGAAATCCTGTGTGCTTTGCAATCAAATTATTCATCAAAAATGTATATTAAGTATGATTCTATAATCCATATGATTATTATAATTATTCAGCTATTTCATTCAGATTCTAAGGTGTCAGTTTGTCTGGATTGTGAAACGAGAAAGTGCCTCCTTCAAACAATCAGACCTGATGATCCAGGCATAGAAACTTGTGATGTGGATGAAAAACTGAAAAATTCAATTGAACATTAACATCAACATGCAGAAAGTCTAAGTGCCTTCAATGATAGTCATTCAAATGAACCAGAGTTTGATAATGATGAAAATTGTGACAGCTGTAACATGAATGAAAAAGAAATGGAAGAATATATAAATTAGGATGTCACACATGTAAATCTGAATGAAGATTCAAATGTGAATGACAATTTTCAAATAATTAAAGGTGGAAGTCAGTTGAAAAAGGTATTCTAATCAATGATGCATTTTCATTCACATTGGAGGCTAAAACTTCTAAAAGCAACATCTGGGTGTGTAGTAAAAGGACCAAAAAACAAAGGTGTCCTGCAAGAATACGCCAGCAGAACAAAACATGTAAATGGGAAAGTTATAACACATTCATGGTAAAAATGACCATCTAACCACTGACATCAGAATTAGAAAAGATTTAAAAGAAATGTGTAAAAGTGACACAAGTTCAAGTGGAAAGCTATTAGCTGAAACAATTTGTTTAGAGCACAGCAATCTAACAGATTGTCTGCCAAATGTTGATTATCTGAAATTTACTTTGTTGTATTGTAATTGTTGGAATTTCTGCTTCTTCAGAACAGTATTTGTCCGCTTCAATTATTTATCAATTCAGCAAAGTACTCAAACAAATAGAACATTTTAAGTTCATCCACAATCAGTATTAACAAATGTAATTTTGAAAGAAATTAAACAACAAAACACCAGTATTTCATCCAAAGCTTATGTATTGAGTAAATGAGTTTCTAGTTCTAAACAAGTAAGTTTAAACGGCCAGCTAATGGTTAAAGAACTGAACTAATGAGCTGGGGAAATGTATTTCCTTTTATACATTTCCCAAAGCTTGGGTTCAATTGGTCAAAGGATTAGGAGGGCAAAATATAGCAGTCTCATAATCTACAAGTAACAAAAATATCAAAGACTAATCTTTTCTATGTTCTTTGTTCCTTTGTTAATTGCATAGTGGCTCCATCTAATATGGGCAAAGAATCTATTTCCTATGAAATAGAGTTCTTTCTAAAATTCCCAAGTCTTATTCTACAAAATAAAAGTCTTTATAAAGTTCTACCATTATAATTGCCACAAAATAGAAGTTATTCTAAAGTTCATTTATATCTAAAGTCTAAATATCAATATGTCATTATATGTAAGTGTACAGATATCCCACCCTTTTAAGACCTTGCTTCAACAAAAGGTCTGAGACTGATCACAATGACTCTGTTACCTTCCTTTGGAAATGTTGGATAGTTTTGAAGAGGTATTGCTTCTTGATCAATTTCTAAGGTTGAGTATGTTGGTACCTGTAGTTCCTCTTGTTGAATTTCTGGAGCTGTGGTTTGGGCTTTTCTTTTTTCTAAATATTTCCAAAGTGTTTCATTGCTGATTTTCATTCTGATTGATCTGGCAGCAGCTGTTTGAAATGTACAACCATCCTTTGTATAATAGATAAAAGTTTTGGTTTCAGATGATTGTGGATTGTGGTTCCTTTCAGCATCCAGTGGATTCTTTTTATTTTGAAAAGATACTGTGTTTGGTCACATTCCCCATATCTTACATCCTCTTTTGTTATGCTTCTTGGATATTTGCAGATTTTCTTATCAATCAGAAATTTTTGGAAAATTTACACTTGTATCGAAATTCTATTTATGACGTTGAAAGTTTTTGTCAGAAAATATCTTGTATCACATATTTGAAAAAGCTGACAAGAACATTTGATATTCTCACTGAATGCATAATTAAATTTATTGTATTACAAAAAAATTTGATAAAATTAAGATTGAAGTTAACTGATCCTGACATTTCTTTGGAAAATACTTTCATTGAAGATGACTTTTATCCAAATAACTTTATTGAAAATGACGATGATAATGATTTGTCTTCAATAAATGGCTCATCTATAAGTGATGGTGAAAATAATGAAATATCTACTAGCTCTTCTTCACAAATTGATAGTTTTGAAAATGAAATGAAATAAAATCTCCTTAGTCTAGTAAATTATTAATTGCTTGACTTGACCTTGATAGGCTTATTGTTTCTATTCTGCAGATTATCTATGTATTCACAAGTATTTCAACATTCCAAATACTTCATCAATTGTTACAGGAATGTCAAAATTGAGTACACTATAAAATATTCCTTCAGTAGAGCCTTTATCAATATCATTTGCTTGAATCTGCTCACAAGAAATTCAATTTCCATCATAAAATATACATTCAGTTCCTCCAACATAATTGATGTCAAACAATTAATTGACACTCTAAACTGAGATTTAACAAAAATGCCATAAAATAGATTATCATCCAAAACAATTGATGTGATATTATAGTCATATGACATTTTCTTATTGATTATACAGACTGCATTTTCAGATGTAACACTTCGAAATCAATATTTCTATTAGGAAAATAGAACAATGAAAATGAGAGGTGATAAGTTGAATGTATACCTAAATTCAACAATATTTGAATCTTCAAAATGGAATGCTACTCTTTCACTCTTCACATTTGATATAGACACTTCAGATGAGTTTGATATAAAAATTCCAGTATCTATCAAAAGTTTAGTTAGTTACGTTTTCTAAAGGGCTTGGGTCAGGGCTCTTTGCCGTGAAATTAATTGGGTTTAAGCCCTCTTAGTAGCCCTAACTGTGTGACAACCTGAACCAATTCCTGCCCACTTTTTCTGAGTGAGATTTCTTTAATAACAGGAAGAATATTTTCAATTATCAAACAAGAATAATTTTCTTCTTTTAGTTTTTTTCTTTAGCCTCCAAACCTTTTTTTACATGTCAAAGCATATATATCTTTTAAGTATTTTATTTATTCTATTGACCTAATTTGTGTCTATAAAGACAACAAAATATTTTAATTTCTTAATTTTGAGTACTTTGTTTTAAAAGAATATACTGCTGAAACTGGAGTGATTGATTATAGCAAAAAAGCTGATTCACTTCCTGAACTGAAAAATTTACAATGCCTTAAGCATTAAATTTTGATCTAAATTTTTACCAGATGTAAAGCAGCCTTTTTACTAACTATTTTCAATATATTCATTCATAAAAATTCATGATCATGTTTAACAAGTTCCTCTAATCCTAACTCAGCCCTAAGCTGTATCTAACCTTTGCAACTTTACTTTTTTCTTTAAATATATTTTATCTTTTCAAAATTTTTCTCCATGACATTCTTTTCATAGATTAGTATTTACTTTCTTTCCAATTTGGGATATTCATTTCATGGGACATCCTTTCCTAAGGGCAACTATTCTTTACCCAATCTCTCTCCTATGAATTGTGTTTTAAAAGTTAGAGAGTTAGAGAATGTCAAGAGGATTTAATGGAAAAGTATACCCAGAGATAATTCATGAAATTAGGATTAGGGTTAGGGTAAACCAAAGTTTTCTGCACGTTTTCCATGACAGTCATGAATTTAGTATTAATCATAGAACTGTATTATTGTTTTCCTAATAAGCTACAAACATTAATTTTGGCTGCTGGCCAATAGTATAAAAAGGTCAAACTTGACAATTGTTGACTTTTGGACAAGTTCCAACTTCTCACCTTCAATGGTTGAGTTGAATTTTTATTAAAATTGTTACATCTTATAAAAGAAGTTGACCACTTAAATTTATCTGACCTACTTACTCAGGATGAATATCAATATCAGACACCTCCTCTTGAAAGATTTTTAGAATTTACTGAATTGTATGTCTATGTATCTGCAATTGGTGAAAATGATTCGCAAGGTGAGTAGTAAAAACAGGTGTAATTAATTAAAAAATAATTGACAAACATGTATGAAATTTATGGAAGGAAGTGGAAAGAATTTGAACTCTTACATTACTGAAGCAAAATTGGATAATGTTCAATTATCCAGTAATGATTTTACTTTATTAACTGATAGTGTCCACTATCTCACAGACACAAATGGAATATTGAACTTTAATTCAAACAACAAAATTGTATTAACAACTCAACTTTTTTAAAATTAGCATCTGATGGTTCAGCCTATAAAACTGGAATTCGAGTGAAAGTAACAAATTATCTATACAGCAATGTTATTGAGGTGAAAACATCTGAAAATTTTCTAGATTGATTTTATTGCGGATTCAAGACAATGCCATATTGATTTGCATAAAAAATTTCTTTTCCCATTAAATTTTTAATAGAATCTATTTTGATTGAAATTTCACTGTTCCACCTTATTGTTCTAAAAACTTGAAAATTCTGACCTATTCAATTCCACAGACACCTAATAACTTAAAATAAAAAGACATTCTTACAATGAATTTTCAATTGTTCATGATCAATATAAATCTGAACTTTTTCAATTTCTCTTCTCCCATTCAAAAACTTTATGTATTTTATTTATTTTTTAACAAAGAACAGCAGTTTCTTTGTAAAAAAAAATGATATAAAATTAGTTAGTATTTAGAGTGGTGAATAATAATCACCCAAAGAAATGTCTAAAAAATTTTCCATTCTGTACATCTAACTCACAATTTTATCCCCAAATTCTCCTATACTTTTCAAATTCAAATTGCAATAAAGCCAAGGAAACTACCCAATCCTGCCTAGCTACTATCACTTGTTGGGAAAATAAATAGAGATTGTAAATTGCTGATTTTACCCTAACCCTAACTCAGGGCTGGGCTGTACCTAACCTTTTCCAATAGCCCTAACAACTTTTATAGAAAAATGTTACACTAATGTTTTTGTATTAATTTCTCTTTACTACAAGATTTTGGATGTGCCAATTCATCAAATTTGATATTTTCAAATCAACAATTAAAGTAGGCAAAGATCTAATAGCTATAATAAATGTTCTATTTATGTGAGTACTTTGGCAAATCAGTAAATGATTGGAAAGGATACTGTTGTGAAAATCCTGAAATTCCTGCAATTACAATACAACAATTACACTTATTAATGTAAATTTTTTTAAAGAAATTAAAAATAATAAATTAATTTCAGTCTACAGTTTTCTCAAAAGTGTTTTATAATTAACTGAAGTGCACATCTATGTTTGGTTAAATGTTGTTGACTTAGTATAGAGCTATTATTGGCAGAATTCTACTACAGATGTCGTTACACCACCTAACAACAGTGCCTAACAACATGAGATCTTTACTACTTGCCTCTATCAGAACAAGCTGTTAGAATGTAAGTTTTCTAAACTATTCATTATTAATGTATGCATTATTTTAAGTACCATTTAATTAATAATTGTGAATTTGTGCAAATGATCAACTATACAATATGGATAAATAGAACATTTAAAAAAAAAATAGGTTAAATTATTGTATTTCACAATAGGCTATTTCATGAGATAAAAATAGATTTTATAGAAAAAATCACAATACCAAGATCAAAAAGCTAAAAATTTTCTTTTTAAAAAGCTGAAATATATTGATCTCTTTCAGAATGAAAATATGGAAAATGGATTCAAAACAATATGTGATAGACTCAAATCTTCTTCAAACTCTCTGAAACATATTGATCTTTCTTACTGTAAATTAAATGATGAACAAGCTAAATTTTTGGGAGAAACATTAAAAAAGTGTTCAACACTTGAAGATATTAATTTATCTGGGAATGACAACACGGGGAATGGATTTAAAGTAATATGTGATGGATTGAAATCTTCTTCAAACTCTTTGAAAAAAATTGATCTTAGTGGCTGTGCATTAAATGATGAACAAGCTAAATATTTGGGAGAAACATTAAAAAAGTGTTCAACCCTTGAAAATATTAATTTATCTGGGAATGACAACACGGGGAATGGATTTAAAGAAATATGTGATGGATTGAAATCTTTTTCAAACTCTTTGAAACATATTGATTTTTCTTACTGTTCATTAAATGACGAACAAGCCAAATGGCTTGGAGGCTCATTTAAAGAGTGTTTAACACTTGAACATATTGATTTATCTTGGAATGATAACATGGAAAATGGATTTAATGTAATATGTGATGGACTCAAATATTCAAACTATTTAAAAAAAATTGATCTTTCCATCTGTGAATTAAATGATGAACAAGCCAAATGGCTTGGAGAAACATTCAAAGTGTGTTCAACACTTGAAGATATTCTTTTGTCTGGGAATGATAACATGAGAAATGGATTTGAAGTAATATGTAATGGACTCAGGTCTTCTTCAAAGTGTTTGAAAAGAATTAACCTTAGCGGTTGTGTATTAAATGATGAACAAGCTAAATGTTTAGGAGAAACATTTAAGGAGTGTTCCACACTGGAAGGTATTTTTTTGTCTGGGAATTATGAAATGGGAAATGGATTTAAACTAACATGTGATGGACTCAAACTGTCTTTAAACTGTTTGAAAAAAATTGATCTTTCCATCTGTAAATTAAATGATGAACAAACTAAATATCTTTGTGAAACAATTAAAAAATGTTCAACTCTTGAAGATATTGATTTGTCTGGGAATTCTAACATGGGAAATGAATTCAAAGTAATCAGTTATATACTAAAATCTTCTTCAAACTGTTTGAAAAGAGTTAGCCTTGTTGGCTGTGAACTAAATGATGAGCAAGCTAAATATATTAGAGAAACAGTAAAAGAAGTTTCTAATAATGTATTTTTTTTTTAAAATATGATATAAAGATATTTTGTTTATTTGCTTATTGATTTAACAGACTTTCTTGAGTTTATTATTCTAAAGGTTTGGATTTAAGAGGCAAATCTCAAAGCATAAAAATCCTGACTTTTTCAAGTAAAAATAAAACCTCTAGTTCTAACAAAGCAAGTTTAAACAATCAGCCAACAATTGGAGTTGAATATGGCTTTATATGATTTTTTCTTTCTTTGGCTCATAAAAGCATAAACTAGAGGAACTTGCTTATAATTTCCATTTTTCTTTATGAATGCATGAATAATGAAAAGCTGTTGAAATGGTTCTGAAATCACTTTGAAAGTTCCATCCATAAATAATATTTTAGCATGTTTCAACAAATCATTTTGATGATTATTAGCAAAAATAATATATCTGCATCAGCCTTTTTAATATCTTTTATTAACAAATTTTCAGGAACAAAAATCATTTCAAGGAATGAAAAATTTCAGAGAAAACTGGTACAAATAATACTAATAATACATTTGATAACTAAAGAAAACAGCACAGAGAAAATTATTTCAGATTACTAATAGTTATGCCTAGAACATTTTTACTTATCCCAGGACGTATTCTTTCCATACTCTCATAATTTAATGGCATCAACAGAAAAAACGTCCACAAAAATAGAGAGAAAAACATACAGTTTAGGCTGAAAATTGTTCTAAGAATATATAACTGATTGTCTTGCTGCCCTTGTTCAATTTACTCTTTGGAACATTTCCTCAATATAATAGTTACCCAGCTTCCAGTAGGATGGACTAATGGGTTGTTGTAGATGATACATTACAACTTCCTTGAATGTGCCATACTACTCATTAGTAGAATGTGTTGAAGTTAGTTCTTAAATACACTGGGAATTTTAAAGCCTTGTTTCAATTTCTTGCAAGTTCAATTCATAGATATCCACTGTAATTGTCTTTGTTGTTGTGACTCTATGCTACAAAATGCTTGGTCAGATATATAGAATTGTTATTAGTGCTATCCCACACAGTCTGTTTGAAATGTTTGTTTGGGTGAAAAGTTCACCATCCTCTTGCGCCATTCCCCTCTAGAACTCATTTTTGGAAAGTTCTTTTTGACATCATCTCCAGCAGTAAATTTTGTTCTATTTTAATTGCAGTTTCTAGCTTTTTTCTATCTTGCAGTTCCCCACACAACTTCTTTGGCACAGTGCCAAGCATTGAATAAATACTATAATGATGTAATAAGGCAACATTACTACGTTGGACTTGAACTTCGTTGCACAATGGAAAATAAGATGGGTTCATAGTAAATGTTGTTGAAGATATTTGAATTGTCTAATCACACCAATTGCAGAATTGTTACCTGTCCTTATTGGGGAAAATAAGGTAATTTATTTATATATTACTTTCTAAGCTTAAGTGTCTGATGAGAGAGAGTTTGTGAGAAGAGGCCCAGGAATAATATCATTACTTATCTTAAGTTTAATAATGTATCATCAAGAAAGAATTCATTGGCCGTTTGCCAAAAAATGAGAATTTTCCTAACCCTAGAAATGCACAATATGCTATATTAACATTGTTATCATTTGCAAAATGCATTGCAAAAGGTTTTGAAACAGTAGAACAGTGAAAGGAAGTCTTCCCTCTAGCTAAGTTTATACATTGTATTTTAATAATACAATAATCTAGCAATTGAAAATGAACAGAAATAGTGTTTAATATAAAATTAATCTATAAACTATACTGACAAAGCAGAAGGAAAGGAGCAAAACATTTCCATATTGACCTATTTGTGATCAATTAATTTGAATTATATTCTACTGGATTTGCATACTGGAGAAAAATGGTTGTTGAATTAGAAACATAACTTTACAGAATAGTTGGTTATTTTATGTCAAACAATTATATTTCAAATAACATCAGAAGAAAAAGTATGTTGACATGAATTGACAAAAATTTTTTACCCAACTCACTTGTCTCTGCCTAACCTTACCAGTTTTCTAGAGGTAGGATGGCAATATTTAATCTTGTGTGAATTGGTTTGTAACTTAGTTTGTTTTACGCTCATTGTAGGTAATTTCTTCCAAATTAACTTGTAAAGTATGAATGACTGGTTCTACTTGGATAAAGGAGGTTGTTCATTGTAAGAAGTAAAGAATTATGAATATTTATAAATGTTTTGTAGCTGGATGAACATAACAGAATTTTTCAAGTGATCTAAAAGTGAATTTATTTTAATATTTCACTTGTTTCATTGGAGCCTTTTTTAAATTGCTTTTAAGTTCTATTTCATTCTCTATTTCACAGTTGAATTTAGCAATCTGAGTTGGGAGAAAACATCTGCAAATGAAATTACTAAAGAATACAATGAAAACGTTTGCTTTTATGGAAATTTGATACAAAACATTAAAGTTGGTAGTAAAATAATTTGCAAGGATGACAAAATCTTTGACAATGATAATGAAAGCTGGGAAATGATTGAACAACTTCCAATCACAATTAGATTCCCTTGGCCCACTTCCAATACAAATAAATTTCAATTTAGAGTTAACATTATTGGAGAAGAGATGATCTGCTATTCTGCAATAGGAGGTGAATTCTTCACCTGCAAACTGACTCTTTCATCTCCCACCAATTGTCAATATAATTGTAATTGTGGTGATAAATATTGTCAAGCCTTCTATGTGAATATGATGATTGATAAGAGAGCAATTATGAACATTTGCAATTGGAATTTTCTCATCTCTGCATTTCTAGATTAAAGATTCACACCCAATACCTTGAATATTTATTGCAAAGATTTGAAAATTTCTTTCTGATTGTTGTTGTTTTTTTTTAAACAATAGACTGGTTCCTATTCAAAGCAAAAATCTTAACTTTAACCATTATCAATATATTTGTATTGCTTTTGCTGTTGGATCAGTTTTTTTCAACAAATCCGACTCTTACTTTCAGTTTTAATTTTAAATCTGTTCAATTTAAATTCGTTATTGGGAAATGACGTAACGGAAGCAGATGTTGCGTATAGTTTTTCTAAACGTACAAAGATTTGTGTCGATTACTCGTGCAGAGGAAAACTTATTGCTAAAGTTAATGGAATATTGGCAACAGCTACTTGTTATAATTCGGATAAATTTGGTTCTGACGACGACGATGATGATCATAATGGTGATAATGATGATGACGATGAAAATGATAACATTTGGAGAGTTGCAAATGTAATTTGTCACAGAATGGGATATGATTATTTCTATAGTTTTGAATACGATTCTGCTCATTATATATATATAGTCATATTATTTTACGTTCCCCAACACCACCGATGATGGAAATTTATTGAAAATATGCAAAGATGGATTCTTTCTGGATAGGAGAAATTTTCTGAAAGAATCTGAAAATTGTAGTACTCAACAACTAAAAGAAACAGTCATTCATTCATTCATTCATTCATTCAATCAATCACTCCAACTGTCTTTCCTTAAAGATAATGTGCAAGAGTTTTGGATATCAGAATGGATTTTTGCTTTTCAACATGGATAACAGTAATTCGGTTAAAGCGTTCATTTTTTCTATACACTGTCCAAAGAACGCTAGTCATCTTGATCACTGCAACTATGAGAATATTTTCCATCCAAAATTACATTCACTATCTGTCTATTCAGATGGATAGGAAGGGGAGGAGCTAAATGTATGACGTTTCTTACTTTTGTCGGAAATTTAGTAGAATGTTTGAAACGCTGCTCTTCATCGACAGACAAAGAACAGAGAAAAATTGAACAATTTAGCCTATAAAAAGGCGTTTATTCTGAACGGAAATAGATACATTGCTGGTATGGTGTTGATTTGTTTCCCTCTCTAGTGTATGGATATCGTATTGAAAGTAACAAAGTTTGCGATGGAAAATACGATTGTCTTCTGAAGGATGATGAGCACAACTGCAGTGAGTTGTCTTTCTGTCATTTTAATCGAATGCTCTATTACTCTAAAATCTTGTAGAATGGTTTAGGCCTATAGGGCATTTTCGCTGTAAAACTAGCTCTGTTCATATTCCTTTGAACAAAGTCTGCATTTCATAAAATATTAAATATTTTGACTACAAAGTGCCAAAGACGTCAGTGTCCTCTAAATGATAACGAAGATGAGAGAATATGTCTGAAAGACTTTCTCTCTCCAGTTGGATGTCTGTGCCCTTCGCAGTTTGATATCACTTGTACTAAAGAGTTTGACGAGATGACAAGAAAATTCAAGTATCAAGCGATTAAAATGGCCGACTGTAAACCAGAGAAAACTTTATTCTTTGCTTGTGGTGAACTGCTAAGTACCGTTATCCTAAAAAGTAGGTCATTCCTTTTCTCTCTCTCACTCTCTCTCTCTCTCTCTCTCATTCCCTCAATAAAAATATTCTAGTTCAAGAATTTTCCAAAACTTGTGAACGACTTGGAATTGTTGTTCAAAATTTTCCAATGGCTACCATTACGTTGACTTTTAGATGGTGTTAATTTAACTGAAAATCAATCAACAAATATTGGAAAAGTATTGAAAAATTGTCCTAAAATACAATCAGTAAATCTAAGTGGTAATAAAGAGATGAATAATGGATTATCAAAGATTTGTGATGGATTATCCCTATCTGAACGTCTCAGTGTCCAGTTCACGCTTGCTTAGAATATATTAATAAGATTGTAGAGTGTTGAGGAATTTTAGAGGACAGCACTAGAATTGTTAACTTTCACAACGTGTCGAATATTAAAATATGCAAAACAGTTTAATTTCAAACATGTCTATGATTGATATGGTTGATAGAATCTATTGAAAGCTAATTTTCCAAAGAAATGATGGAACCAAAATTAATTACACCATATCTCTCTGGTTCGTTGCTCATTTCACATAATCGCCCACTAAAAACATTTTTTAGGTATACCCTGCCTTGGGGGACCTATAGGACCAGGAATACCTTGCTGACCAGTAGCACCAGGTATGCCCTGGGGACCTATAGGTCCAGGAAAACCTTGTGGACCTGTAGGACCAGGAATACCTTTTGGACCTGTAGGAGCAGTTATGCCTTGGCGACCTATAGGTCCAGGAGTACTGTGTAGACCCAGAGGGCTAGGAACACCTTGCTGACCATTGGCCCCATATATGCCCGGGGGACCTATAGATCCTTTAGTGTTAGGTTCCATACATTCTTTTCCTGAATAGCCAGGATTGCAGACGCAGTGCCATAAATGGTGATTTCCAACACATGTACCTTTAAAGTAAATATTACAAAATGCATATTCAATTATTAGTCTCTTTCTTACCTTGATTATTGCATTCTGTTGAACTACACCACTCGTGAGGAGGAGCATGATGTTGAGAATTTGAAGATTGTGCATTTTCGCTAAAAACAATTGACAATTGGTAAAGAAATAGAAAAATTGTAAAATATGTTTGAAAATTTCTCATCTTCAACATCTTTCCGAACGTTTGACTCAATTGAGTGTAGCAATGGAAGAGAATAGGTGCTTTTATAATTCAAGGGAAAAAGCTTTAACAATAGTGTAATGGTTTTAAATCAGCTTATCTGCTTATATTCCAAATTTAGCTTAATCCAGATCACAAAGGATCATAAAAGCAAATGGAGCAAGCTATCTAATTATACCAAAAATTTGTGCTATATCAACAAGGGCAAAAAATACCATGTTAGCTATGGTAGGTGATCGATCCAACAACAAATCAACTTTAAAAAAAATCATCTTTACTGATGAATCCAGGTTTTCATTAGATGGTCCAGACTACCTACTAACTTGGCAGTGAGACTGTGTAGGGATAAGCTTCCTAGTGGTGAAAAGGAGTGATGATTTGGGAGTATATATCTTCAGATAGTGAAGTTTTCATCCAAAGACTTCCCTCTAACATATTTGGAGAAATTTACTCTGAATTAATTCAAGGTACAATTTTTGCTATGTTGAGGGAAAAATTTGTTGAAGACTTCATGTAGTAGCAGGATAATGCACCCATACACACTGCCATTGTAACAATGGATATATTGGAGGAGAATGGAAGTCAAGTCCTTGATTGGCCTCCATATTCACCAGACCTCAACTCCATTGAAAATTTGTGGGGGTATTTGAAGCAAAAGGTGTATGTAATTTGTAGGCCACAAACACTTGACCATTTATAGGACAAAATCCAAGAAGTGAAAAATTCAATACAAATAATATTTGTATGAAGGGATTGGAGAAAGAGTTTGGCAGGCTATTGCCAACAAAGGTTACAGGGTAGGAAAATAACTGTCATACTAAAACAAAAAACTAAAATTTATCACTAAAAACAAAAACACACTGGCTAATTAAGCTTTTACTGATATTTTTGGTACACTATTTTTTTTTCAAGTTTAATATTCAGTCAAGAATTTTTAAAGAGAGCAGTTTTATTATAAACTTGAACATTAGACTTCATTTAATTGGGGCCGACAGAAAACGTCCCCAAGTGAGATTTTTGAAAGCAACATTTCGGATTGAAAAATGGTTAGGATGAGTGAAGTAGCCATTGATTTGTAGTTAGTTAGGGGGGTTCCTTCTAAGGGTCAGGGGTAATCAAAAAGGTTAGGGAGTGACAAGGGCTGGGTTAGGGTTAGGGTTAAATCATGCATTTGGGGACGTTTTCTGTCATAACCCATTTAATTTCCTTTATGAAAAAGGTATAATAGGTCCAAATAAACAATTGTAAACAACTTTAACATTTAAAAGATAAAGCTAGTATTAAGACTGTTGCAATAATTTCTATACTCAGCCTACCAATCATAAAAAACAACTAATAAGATATGATTTTTTTTTACTATTTCAATAACAAATCTATTTAATTCTCCTACATTTGTAAACACATTACTAAATACATTTTGTTGTGGGAAAATTTTGGTGTCACTTCAATAGTATCATTTTAATTGACATGCTGATTTTTTTCTAAACAGCTTGTGCTGAATGAAAGACACAGCTGTGTGGAGGTTCCAACTAAGGGTTAGGGGTAATCAGAAAGGCAAGGGAGAAACAAGGGCTAGGTTAGGGTAAAACAATACATTTGGGGACATTTTCCATTGGTCCCCTGTATGGTGAATGTTTTATTAATTTAAAAATAATTAATAGATAGATAATGTACTTTGTTGTATCATTAACATCTGAATTTCATTCATTTGGTGTTGATCTAGCCTCACTATGTTTTGCCCATTACAAGTTATATCAGGTTAAGCTACCTAACAATAGTGTAAGCCTGATCACTAGCCCTTTGGCATTCAGGATCAGGTGTGTCTTGTGGATCCATAGGACAAGGAATACCTTGGGGCCTATAGGATCAAGATGACCTAATGGACCTATAGGACTGGGATAAGCTAATTCAACTATAGGACAAATGCAAAGAGCTTGGGTGTTTTAACAACTCAAGGCAAAAAGTTTTAACCACATTTTAATCAGCTTATTTACTTAAATTTCAAATTTAGTCTAATCTGAATGACAGATCCTCTAGTCTTTTTAGATTTCCTATTACCTTCACAAAACTCTGCTCAAGCTGAAAGAAAGCCTTGTAAGATGGTCTTTTGTTGGCTAAAAGAAGGATTTAAGTGAATGTTGATTAGATATCCTAAGAGACTACTCCGACTCACTTGATAAAAGAGGAATACCTCTGAAATATTGTGGATTTTTATTTAGTTGGTGGAAAGTAGAACCCTGTAGTTGATGTTCTCTTCACTCTTGTTCAGAATCTGTCCTTGTGGTTTAAGAGATATAAGAAAAGCTTTAGATCACATTAATTTATACTTAGTGTTGGTTTCTCTGTACCATTCATTAAGGCTGGGTAGAATATTGTTTGGAGAAATTATTCTAAAACTGCACATCAACAGGAAAATTATTGAGCAAAGCTTCCTCATCAACAAAAGCATAACACAAAAGTGTATTATTGGGTGTGATTTTCTACAACAAACTGGAGCAACTCTTGACTTTTACCAGAGACAGATTATACTGCAGTCAATTATAGAAAAGAATTATCTAGTTGGAACTCAACATCTATCCTTCAAAGGACTTCACCCAGTTCCTTATATCACAAAGAAGAATGAAAGTAAAATACATACTCTTCAGACAAATATTGGACAGGAGAATATAGAGTTGAAACTAAAGCTCACTAAAATACTGGAAAAATATCAAGATACTATTGCAGGCGACAGATTTGATGTTGGAGATTCAGATGTTCCACACCTGGAAATTACTTTACAACACCATATACACAAAAGCCATATATGAATGCCTCCTCAAAAACAGGAAGAGTGCAAGCAACAAATAGCTGAATTAGTAAAAAGTAGAGTTATTTAACCAAGTAAGAGTAACTCTGACCCCGAAATTTCATTGAAGTTTCCTTATCAAATCATCAATTTTTTTAAAACCTTTCCAATATTATTCATTTCTTTTCATGGTTTAAATTTTGACATTGAGACAATGTTGGACGTTTTATTCATATCATGGCATCATAGTCTCTTAGATAACAAAATCATTCTTATTTTCAAAGGCGAAAAATGATGTTGAATGGACAAGTTTTTTCATGAAAATATGGCTACTTGTTTAGGTGTAATATTTAATCCATTTACTGCGAGATTTCCATTTCCAGGAGTTGATAAGCCTCTGGCTCAATCATTGTCCAAATGATTGGGGAAAATTGTTTCTGCTCTAATGAAGAAAGTATAAATATTTTGTTTATGTTTCTTAAACCAGTGTGCCTAATGTCGAATTTAATGGAAAATTTAAAATGTGCAACCTGATAAACTCAAATAACAATGAATGTAAATATTCATGTTCCTATGATGATAGATATTGTGAAGGTGTTTCAAATGATTCATCACTAAAACTGTGTGAAATGAAATTTCTTTACCTTTAAATGAATAAATATTAATATTTATATGAATTTTTTAGTGTATTTTCAAATCTTGACAAAAGTTTGTCAATCAGTTTGTAATATAGTTAATTAGTTTTTCTTATCTTTTCGTCGAGAAAAGAGGTTTAAGGTTCCATTTGGATCAGTGTTTTCAAGTAAAAAGATTTACTTTGTTGTCTTGAAATTGTAGAAATTTCTGGCTTATCACAACTGTAATTCTCCTTTCCAATTATTTACAGCAGGAAAGTAGGTCAATAGTCCTTATCTTTAACAGTGCAAAAACTTAACCAAAACTACACGTTTTAGTAAAATGTATATGTAAAATACATGCTCAGGAACAAGTTAGACATTAATATATTAAAACTAGGCATATTAATAAAATCTATGCATTTTGAAATTTCTGTTCTAAAATCTTATGAATGTAAATCAATTGATGTATTCCTATAAATAAATATGCCTGTATTCTTTACGAATATTTGATGTTTATTCAGTGAAGAATGTTGTTTTTGTGATATTGTTCATCTAGAATTATTGAGCTTTATCAATTTTTCAACAGATAAGAAAATTTAAAGTTATCCCTAAAGTTTGCTAGATAGTTTTTCTTTAGCAGAATGATCAAAACATGTATTTATTAATTGAATGGTTTCAACTGACTATTGATAGTTTGATAAAATCCAAGTATGAGTTTGTAATCCAAAGATGAAAGATATATCATAGAATATATATACAAATTTCCTCCTTTGTTCTATTCTACACAATGGATTATAAAGAGATATTAGAATTTAAGAAATTGAATGGAGATTTTTGAACCTTTGGCAATAAATGCAAATCTATCACTACTTGAAAACTTTCATATTATTGAAAATACAATAAATGCTGACAAGAACATTTGCTTAGTAACCAGATTTCCTAAGTTGTAAGTCTTTTTTTTATTTTTCTCTTGAGCAACTCATTGAAACAATTTTTCAGAGCTCTTCATTATGAAACTATGATGTTTGTACCACTCTTTTTTGGTGTTATTATTTTGAGTTATGATTTCATAATTGTGAAATTTAAATATCATAGTACTGAGAAAGATGATACCAGAGCAGGCCTGTGCATGTTGGCCATGTGGTCTTCATCTCATCATTGTATTCTATATGTGTCATATAATAGTCTTTCATATTTTTGTTACTTGTGAATTATGAAACTGCTATATTTCGCCCTCCTAATCCTTTGACCAATTGAACCCAAGCTTTGGGAAATGTATAAAAGGAAATACATTTCCCCAGCTTGTTAGTTCAGTTGTTCAACCGTTACCTGGCTGTTTAAACTTGCTTGTTAACTAGAAACTCATTGACTGAATACATAACCTTTGGATGAAATACTGGTGTTTTGTTGTTTAATTTCTACCAAAATTACATTTGTTAATACTGATTGTGGAGGAACTTAAAGGGTTTTACTAGAA